AGAGTTGTATGAACCACTAAGGACCAGCACCCATTATTTGGTTGAATCCCTTTTTCTGGTAAAGAGAAGTGTGTGTGTGTGTGTGTGTGTGTGTGTGTGTGTGTGTGTGTGTGTGTGTGTGTGTGTGTCAGCCAGGCCCCTCTTCAATAATCAGCTTACTGTTGATGCATGTGTGGTGTACTGGCACCTGGACAACTCCATTTCTGAATCTGTTCCTGAGGGGGTGGTGGGTGGTGGGTGTGTCTCAGCCAGGCACCTGGACAACTCCATTTCTGTATCTGTTCCTGAGGGGTGTGTGTGTGTGTGTGTGTCTCAGCCAGGCCCCTCTTCAATAGCACACCAGAGTTGTATGAACCACTAAGGACCAGCACCCATTATTAAAAGTGGCCTTGTTCTGTTACTTTTCTATGTAAAGAAAGAGTTGTTTGCCCCAATGCCCGTATACATGTTATATCTTTCCTGATGACCTCAGACCTTGGCTTGACAGTTTGTCACAATACAGTCAGCATGTCAGAACTTCATTTCCCTTTATGACTAAATAATATCTTGTAGTGTGTATATATAACAATTTGTTTATCCATTCTTATTTTGAGACACATTTTGGATACTACTACTTTTGGCTATTGTGAATACTGTACTGCTTCTGGAAATATGTGTGTGCATGTCTCTGAGTAGCTTTTTCTGTCATTTGGAGAGAACTATGTGTCTAGGAGTTTAATTACTGAGCTATTTTTTAATCCTATAGTTTATATAGTTGTATATAAGCCCTAAGTACTAGCCAAAAGGTTGGCAGTTCAAATGCACCTGGTGGTGCCTCATAAGACAGGCCTGGCAAAATGCTTCCAGCGGTCACAAGCTTAAAAAGATACAATACTTCTATCAGACATAGACGGAGTCTCGGGTGTCAGAACTGACTCAACAGCAACATGGTAATTCACTCTAACTTTCTGAAGAATTGCCAAACTGTTTTCTGCTGAGACTGCAGCATTTTACATTTCACCAGCAATATTACAAGAGTTTCAATTTTTCACATCCTCATCACATGTTATGTTTCCTTTTTCTGATACTAGCCATCTGAGTGGGTGTATCTCATTGTGGTTTTGATTTACATTCCCCTAGTGACTAATGAACAAACCCTGGTGTGCAGTGATTAAGGGATCTGCTGCTAAACAAAAAAATTGATGATTCTGTAAAAATTCAACCTTGAAAGCCTCATTAGGCAGTTCTTCCAGCTTTAATGATGTTGAGCACTTTAGGGAGCTCCAGAAGCGTAGTGGTTACAGGTTGGGCTGCTAACCACAAGGTCTGCAGTTAAGAACCACCAGACGCTTCATAGTAGCTTTTTCTCCTGTAAAGAGTTACAATCTCAGAAACCCACAGAGGCAATTCTACCATGTCCTGCAGGGTTGCTATGAGTCAGAATCGACTTGTTGCGTTGAGTTTTGGTGTTATTGACCATTTGTATACCTTGAAGAAATGGTGCAAGTTCATTTTCTAGTTTTTAATTCAGTTGTTTTCCTTTCTGTTACTAAGTTATAGGAGTTGCTTACATATTCTGGATTTTAAATCCTTATGAGATTGTGATGCATACATGAAAAAAGCGAAAGTCATATGAGAAACACAAGAAGAACCAAAATGGGTGTCAGAAGAGACTCTGCAACTTGTTTTTGAGCATAGAACAGCTAAATGTGATAGAAGATATAATATGGTGAAAGAGTTTAGTAGAACATTTCTAAGGGCAGCTCAAGAAGATGAAGTATTAAAGTGAAGTTTTGCAAAAACCCTTAATTAGAAAAGCAAAGGAGAAGAACATACTTGGCATTTCTAAAACTGAAAACTAAAGAAAAATCAAACCAGTTCTCTGGGCAAAATATTGAACAGTGCAGGAGGCATCAGAAGAAGGAGGAATACACAGAGTCACTGTGTTAAAAAGAATTTGCCAGCATCTCACCATTTTAGGAGGTAGCATTTAATGAAGAACCGATAGTATTGAAGGGGAAGAAGTCTAAGCTGTACTGAAGGCATTGTTGAAAAACAAGACTCCAGGAATACCAATTGAGATATTTCAACAAATGGATGCAATTCTGTAAGTGCTTACTTGTCCATTCCAAGAAACTTGGAAGACAGTTACCTAGCCAACCAGCTGACTTCCTACAACAAAGTTAAAGCTTTAATCTTAACAAAATCCTGCAAGGCCTTTCCCAAAGTGCTTCTAGCTAACTCTCCCACTTCTCGCTCATTCCGCTTATAGTGACCTTGGTCTTCTTGCTAGTCTAGGAGCACAGCGAGCTCATACCTTTCCTTTCACCTAGTGCTCTAGTCTCTCATATAGTCACGTGATTCATACTCTTATTTCCTTAAGGTCTCCACACATGCCATCTCCTGAGAGTTCGCTCTTTAACCACCCTGCCTAAAGAGCATCTACTAGCACTCTTTATCTCCTTGTCATAATTTATTTTTCTTGAAAGCATTTATCACTGTCTGACATACAGAAGTTTCCTAAAGAGAGGTATTTTGTCTTCTTCCTTTGCTCTCTACTTAACTCATCGTTTAGAATAGTTTTGTGTTTAATAAGCACCTACTATCTGTCAAATGGATAAACATGATTTTGGAAGAAAAACTTAACAATGAACAAACTTATTATTGGGTATTTGATATATGTAGTTCACATTTAATTTCCTTAACTAACTTATAAGAATAGACATTTTCCCCATTGATCAACAAGAAAAATAAGACTTTTAAATTTTTAAATAATTTCCCCTAATATAACTAGGATTCAAAATTTGGTATATACTACTTGACACCAGAGCAAAGTCATTTTGTATCTCTTTTTTTAAAAATTAAATATGCTATGTACTGTAGAAAATAAGTCCATATATAATTAAATTCAAATGAGCTAACAATAAATATTATAGTTGTTTGGAACATGGAAAATCCCCAAAGTTTGACTAAAAATCAAAACTATTAATTCACTGAATCTCTGAACAGCTAAAGATGTGGCTCTGAAATAATAATAAGTAGAATTTGAACTGCTAGAGAATAAAAGCAAAGACCATTTAGATACAGTTAACTGAGTGAATGTGGAAAAGCAAATTTGTTAAAAAGCTTATCAGACTCATCCGGAGCTGAAATTTAATATTTAGGGGTGCTGTGAAATAAGTATCAGAGAAATTAGTTCCACATCAGGTTGTGTAGTGAACTTGAATGCCTGGCTATGGTGTTTGAACATTATAATTATTGGGGAGTGACCGAACGTTCATGTGGATGTATGGCAATAGAATGTAGTACTTAAACTTGGAAACAAAACTGGTTTCAAATCCTGTCTCTGTTCTATTCTAGCACAGTGAGCCTGAGTAGATCACTTACCCTCTCTGTGCTTTTTGTTTTCTTATCAATCAAAAGGAGCTAACTTCTTTAACTCACAGAGGCATTGTAAAGATTATTGAGTTAATGTGCATAAGAATGTTTAGAGCAATGCTTAGCACATGGTGAACATCAGTAAGACTTAAATATGACATGGTAATAATTACAAATATTAGCTATTTCTCTTCTATTATAGTTAGAGTGATTTCACATTGCCTTTGTGTGTACTGTTCTTTTCAGTTTTCACAACTCTGCTGGTAGTATTAGTATATCCTGCTTAAGCCACAAAAGTTGTATCATGCCAGAAATCCTTAGCTGACAAGACTAAGTCATAGTACCATGACTCTGTTCTATGAAACGAATGGAACAATCAAATGACTTGACAAAAAAATTGAATTTTAGGAAATTGATTAAATTCTTCAGTGAAATGAAAAAAGGAAACCTGTAGTCAGGGTTATAGGGCTCTTTAAATAATTTAGATTTTGATTTTATTTGTGAAAAATTCTTCTGCCACAGTCATATCATTGTAAATGAAGAGAAAAGATAACGAAAGGAGAAACTATGATGAATTTTATAACTAATCAACAAATTAATATTCTTTCAGCTGTATTTAAACTTGAAACAGAAAGAAGTGTGTGGCCCTTGATAAGAATCTATCGGGGTGGCTTTCTTCTGATTGAATTCCTTTTTCTACTGGGCATCAACACGTATGGTTGGCGACAGGCTGGAGTAAATCATGTGCTCATCTTTGAACTTAATCCAAGAAGCAATTTGTCCCATCAGCATCTTTTTGAGGTAAACAAAGCAAGACATAAAGTTCACGAATATAGTTTGCATTAGCTAGAAACCTGGATTCGTGGGTATTGGAATCTGTCTTCTACTTGAAAAGGGTTATTAAATTAATAACTAAATACCCTTACCTTGGTTTTATTAAAGTTATTTCTGAATCTTGCTGAAAGTATAAGTAACAAGTTTTTTCTCTTTTTGTCTTCCTTTACCAGATCGCTGGATTCCTTGGGATACTGTGGTGCCTGAGCCTTCTGGCGTGTTTTTTTGCTCCAGTCAGCATCGTCCCCACATATGTATATCCACTTGTCCTTTATGGATTTATGATATTCTTTCTTATCAACCCCACCAAAACTTTCTATTATAAATCTCGGTTTTGGCTGCTGAAACTGCTGGTAAGTCCAGAAATTTTTGTACCATTTCTAGAGTAACCCATTGGTCACTCGTGTCCTCTAGAATGAAGACAAAGCTGCTGGGTACCCTGACATCAAAAAGCTCCTTTCACATCATATTATAAGTGAGTGGTGCCCCAGCTCCAGAGCCAAAGAATACAGTGTGACAGGTAATCTTCAGTTGTACTTTAACAGGTACACCTTGGCCCTGGAAAAACACTCATGCATTTCTTCCTCCTAAAATGCAATATAAAGTGGCCAGGTGTTGAAATTATTTTGTAAGCTTTAATTATTTATCACTTCATTGTACACTTCTTTAGCCACCTATTAAAGGTGATCCAGTGGGTTAGCATTGGTCAGCTAACTGAAAGGTTGACAATTCAAACCTGCCAGATGCTCCATGGAAGAAAGATGTGGGAGTCTGTTTCTATAAAGAGTACAACCTCAGAAACCCTGTGGAGAAGTGATACTCTGCCATTCAGAGTAGCTATCAGTTGGAATAGACTTGAAAGCAGTGGGTCTGGTTTAGTGCTTTGTAGTAGAACTTTATCAGTATCTTAAAACTGTGGTAAACCTATTATTATTGTCCAGTTAAAGTTAACGTGAGTAGTTGTCTTAGGTATCTAGTGCTTTCAAAAAAAACAAACTCACTGTTGACTCATAATGACCCTGTAAAACAGGGTGGAAATGCCCCCTGTGGTTTTCTGAGACTGTAACTCTTGACGGAGGAGCTGGTGGTTTTGAATTATTGACCTCCCAATTAGCAGCCCAGTGCATAACCACTACACCACCAAATCTCCAGTGCTACTGTGCATAAAATATCACAAGTTGATAGCTTTAATAAGTAGAAATTTATTCTTTCACAATCTAGACTACTGAAAGTCTGAATTTAGGGTGTCAGCTCTAGGGTAAGAAGACACTCTGTCCTTGGATGAAGGGCCTTCTCTCCTTTCAACTCCTGTGGACCCAACATTCCTTGGCGATTTCCATGGGTCTTGACATCATTCTTCCTCTGGGTCTAGGGATACCTAACACAGGAATCCTGGATCTGAAAATTATGCTCTGCAAAAGCTCTTTTTCTTGGTGACTCGGGCCTTTTAGTCTTTTGACTTGCCTCTTTCTACTTAAATCTCTTGTAAGATAAGAAGTGATGGAGTAAGGGTGTTACATCCTGCCTTCCAAAAAACCCCCAAACTCACTACCATCCAGTTGATGCCAACTCGTAGCGACCCTATAGAACAGGGTAGAACTGCCCTCGTGAGTTTCCAAGACTGTAATTGTTGATGGGAGTGGAAAGCCTCATCTTTCTCCCTTGGAGTTTCTTGTGGTTTCAAACTGCTGACTTGTGGTTCCCAGCCCAGCAAGTAACCACGACACCACCAGGGGGGCTCCTCACCCTGAGATTAGGTTTCATGTTCTACCCATTGAGATAACCAGGTGCCTCATCCGATCTTAATACCCTTATATTTAATTGGCTGATTATATCACATATAACTGCCAGATTATATCATTACATAACTGCCAAACCACTAAGCATTCTGGTCCAGTCAAGTTGGCACATATTTTAAGAGTTGACATAATGTAGTCCATAACAGTGGTCAACCAGGTTTTTTGTTGTATGGCATCACTCACAAACTCACTCACTACTATTAAGTCAATTTGAACTCACAGTGACCTATAGGACAGGGTAGAATTGCCCCCTTTTGGGTTTCCAAGATACAACTCTTCTGAAATAGAAAGCCTCATGTTTCTCCCTCAGAGTGCCTTGTGTTGATCTCAAACTGCAATCCTTGAGGTTAGCAACCCACTACACCATTAGTTCCCTAAAAGCAGTGGGAATAGCTGGTCAGATCACCGACTTTAATATGGGAAGTGTATTTCTAGGCTTGTTTATGATAATTTCTTTTTCTTCTAATTTACCTATTTCTTAATCTTGAATCATAGAGTCTACAATTTCTTGGGTAGAAAAAATGAGCTGTATTTTTTGTGATAACATTAAGATAGATATGCTCACTCATTTTTTTTTGTTTTAAATTCCATTTCTTTGTGAGGGATGGTTTGGGAGTTTTTTCCCCCCAGCAATTTTATTGGTATATAATTAACATATCATACAATTCAATACTTAAGTCACACCAAGAAGAGCTATTTAATCATCACCACAATCAGTTTTAGAAAATTTTCTTCATTCTTGTACTCTTCCTTTCCCCCAACTTCCTTGCCATACTACCAGGGAACAATTAATCCAATTACTGTCCTAGATTTACCTGTCCTGGATTTTATATACAGAAAAACATTTAAAAACTAACAAAGATAACAAAGTAAAACATAAAAACCCAATCGGAAAGAAAGTACTAGAGAAAATACTAGAAACAAGAACAAATGTAAATGGATCGTAAGGGTGATCAAATGGAAGGGTGCTAAATTTTAACCTGATTACATCTGCAACAATCCACTTTTTAATTCATTCTGCATATTAACAAGGCTATTCACATCCCTGGTCCATGGCCAGAGGAAAATCACCGGGCACTTAATCCATGTGTATTTCCCATTTGTTGTTGTTGTTGTTCTTAACTGAAACAGCTTTAAAATAAGTCTAGAGAGAGATCAAATTATAAGATAGTACATTTGACTTTTGACTTAATTATATCTGCCATAATCGACTATACAGTGCTTCCTGTATGATTGAAAGGGATTCACTGGAGGCTAAATTTACCACATGCAAATAGATTTGGGGCTTCTCCTGTCATCCATAGCCTTCTGCAAACCAGGTGTTCACGATTTAAGCTGTGATGCCATTCCTTCCTTTAGATTTAGCTTACCTGCTCCCTCTTAAACCACTTTTACTTAGAAAATGAATTGGAATGCTTTCATATAGTTGGTTCTCAGCTTATCGATTATAAGTAAAAGTAATTGGCCAATCTATACACCAAATTAAAAACCAAACCAGGTAACCTTAAGTCAATTCTAAGTGAGGGTGACCCCAAGTATGTCATAATAGATTCTGCTCTGTAGGGTTTTCAAAGGCTGATTTTTCAAAAGTAGGATGTCTGGTCTTTCTTCTGAGTTGCTTCTTGACAAATTCAAACCTCCAGCCTTTCAGTAAACACCAAATGTGTTTGCACATTTGCACCACCCAAGAATTCCAGTCTCTGTCCAAGTGTTCGAGTTCACTCTTTTTCACCTTATCGACCTACCACTTTGAAGACTCTTTGGTTTAGCAGAATTGTGTTGTGGTGTTGTTGTAGTTCTTAAAAGTTCACTCACTAAAGCTTTAGCAAAAAAAATCTGTTTTAAATACAAGGGGACTTTTAGAAGCTTGTGGAGAAAATCTCTTAGCTTTTAATTTTATTTTCCATCAACTTTTTGAAACCACTTTGTTTGACTTACTTATTTAAAAGAAAATGGTTAAATATCCAGTAAATAAAAGGCAGTACATATTCCAACCGGAGTAAGTGTGGCAGTCACAAAGCAAAAATGGCTCGCGTCATGATGCCCCAGCCCCAGCATGATTTATTTGTATCTCTTATGAAAAGTTCACCTTCTACCAGGGCTTTGATTATAAGTTGAAAATCTAAGCCTAAAACTGGATGTGAATTCTGACAAGATCTGCACATTCCTTGTGGTATAGCCAGAGACTAGGTATGAATTCTGCCCTGTGGCACCTCAGGGTTCAGGAGTTGCTGTGTCAGTCATAAGCACATTCTCACCTACATTTTGTCATCACATGGCAGCATGTGTTTTAGAGGTGATGTTTTTCCTTTAAGGGCACAGGGGCTGTTGTTTTTGTTTTGCGTGAAATTAGAGAAAAATACGAGCTATTCTTTCTGTGTCTTCAGATTTATACAAAACAAAAAACAAAAAACAGTGCCAGTTGTTACAAGATAAGTTTACCATTCTCGTTTGAGGTTATCTGTCATTTTATTACTAGATTTTGTGACTTTTTAAACTGTTAGTTATGACATTATTTTGGTTATGATGAAATACATTTACAATTATAGGCACCTATTGTTTTCTGCCTCCATTTTTATTGTGAAATTTCTATAAAGTTACTTTTAAATGAAGAAAACGTAATTGTTACTGTGATTTCATTAATGGGATAACCATTGTGTACATTTTGTACTATTTCCCGGTACATTCTTCTTTGTCTAAGTCGCAAGTTGTGATCCATGCGTGACCAATTACTGTTATTAATAGAATGATCCCCTATTGGGTAGACATTTATCTATGCATCTGTTTTATGTTTGTTAATAGATTAGGCCTTGTTGACAGAATAAATTGTCAATGATGATATAGTAATAGAATAATTGTAAAAATGGCTATTGTCTCATCTGACCTCTAATATTATGTGAGGAAGGAGAGAATCAATATAACCATCAAGCCCAGGATCGCCTCCTGTGAGATAAAGATCAGACATACCACCTCTCCAACTGTTTTACTGGTTCTGACACCAACCATCTCTCCACAGAACTGACACGCTCTACTTCTCTGTTGGCCTTGATAATTTGTTGCAATGGCCGCACAGAACTCACAAACTAGGTTTACACTTATGGTGTTTATTGACTTACAATTCAGTAACAACTCAGATTATAGTTCCTAGATAGGGACAGCCCCTCAGCAATGCCCATGGACTGGACTCTCCTGGTCTCCCTGGCCTGGCTTCTGTGCCGCTCCAGCTAGTGTTACAAAGTTGTTTTGCTCTCTGATAAATGCCCAAGAGGCACCCCTTCTGCCAGAATGCTTCCTGCCTGAAGGCACTCAGCTCTCTCACTCTGGTCGACAAACCTACTATAATCACCTGGCTCTATAGCAGCAGTTCTCAGCCTGTGGGTCGCAACCCCTTTTGGGGTCAAAGGACCCTTTCACAAGGGTTGCCCGATTCATAACAATACCAAAATTACAGTTATGAAGTAGCAACAAAAATAATTTTATGGTTGGGAGTCACCATAACATGAGGAACTGTATTAAAGGGTTGCGGCTTTAGGAAGGTTGAGAACCACTGCTCT